AGAGAGTATAATAAGCATTTATTGGAAGCCATAAGGGAAGATCTAAATAAATAGAATTATTTGCCTCATCATAAGATGACCTAGTCTCGTGATGGCAAGTCTTCTCAAATTTATCTATACATTCATTGGAATTATCATCAAAAACTTAACTTGACCAGGGATACCTTGGCAGCATAGTCGGTTGAATGTCCAACTCTTAATCTTAGCTGAGGTCTTGATCTCAGAGTCATAAGCTCAAGCCCCATGTTGGGCTTTTTTCTTAAAAAAAGAAAAGAAAAAGAAAGAGAAAAGAAAGAAAGAAAGAAGAAAGAAAGAAAGAAAGAAAGAAAGAAAAAAAGAAAGAAAGAAAGAAGGAAAGAAAAAGAAAGGAAGAAAGAAAGAAAGAAAGAAAGAAAGAAAGAAAGATCTTAACTTGACCAAAAAATTGTAAAATTAGCAAGGAAGAATAAAAGATCCAACATGGATGAGGCAATGTTAAAGAAGAAAAAGACAAGGGAATTTATCCTAACAGATAGAAATAATTATTATAAAGTCAACATTACAGAAGCAACTTACTCATGCGGGCATACACAAACTATTGGGATAGAATAAGGAGACAAGAAACTGACCCATACATATGTGGAAATTTGACTCATCATTGAAACAACACTGCATATCAGTGGAGAAAGGATGGACTATTCAACAATATGATGCTGAGACCGTCAAATTAAAATAGAAAACTTTTTTAAGTTAGAGTTTTTACACAATACACAAATAACAACATGGAACTGATTAATGACTTAAGCACGAAAGAAAAGTTTAATTAAAATGCATAAAAATATGAAAAGATAATTCATAGAACAAAAACCTTAATACCAATAGCATTGAAAAATTACTCTTTCTCATTAATGATCAGGCAAAGGGCAAGTTAAAACCCATAGAAGATAAAATGTCATACTCTAATTAAAATGGCAGAAATGTAAAAGCCTGGCAATATTAAGTGGTGGCAAGAATTTTTTTTTTTTTAAGAATTTATTTATTTATTTGACAGGGAGAGACACAGCGAGAGGGAACACAAGCAGGGGGAGTGGGAGAGGGAGAAGCAGGCTTTCCCCTGAGCGGAGAGCCCGACGCGGGGCTCGATCCCAGAACTCTGGGATCATGACCTGAGCCGAAGGCAGACGCTTAACGACTGAGCCACCCAGGCGCCCCAGTGGCAAGAATTTTTTAAAAAGGTTTATTTATCTTAGAGAAAGAGAGAGCAGGGGGAGGGGCAGAGGGAGAGAGAGAATCTCCAGCAGACTCCCTGCTGAGTGTGGAGCCCAATGTAGGGCTCGATCTCATGACGCTGAGATCATGACGTGAGCCGAAATCAAGAGTCAGACACAGCCAACTGAGACACCCAGACGCCCCACGAATTTTTTTAAAAAGGGAATTTTCACACACTTTCACTAGAAGTGTAAAATGGTTACCCCCACTCAGAAGAACACTGTATGAATATATGGTAAAGCTGAAGATGTTTATACGCACTACCTACAACCTAATAATTCTCCGCATATAAACCTATATCATATATAAACCTGTATCAAACTCAGTTCACTATGGGGAACTTTAACATAATCCTGATGCCCAAGTCATTCTGCAGATCAATTAGGCTATGATTTCTGGGGGTGAGAGTGAGGCATCAGAGTTTTTTTAATACCCCCCAGGTGATTTCAATGTGCAGTCAAAATTAATAACTTCCATCTTACAGGAACTTCAGCATCTGTGTACAACTTGCATAAGAATGTTCATCAAAGCATTAACACATACAGAAAAAAAATATATCTATATATCACTATCCAAACACTATCAATGGAAAAAGGGATAAATAATATTGATATATTAATTTAATATATAGATAAAATTAATTAACTGGTGCTCCAAGTATCAAATTAATAAATCTTATATAAAATTAGTACACATTGTTTAGGTTTCATATATTTGTTGTAAAAGTGTTAAAAAAAGAGAAGAACTGGCATGAGAATTATATACAATAAATACAAGATAGTGGACGACAGAGAACTGAGAGAAGCACACGGGGCATCAGTAAGATTGGAAATACTTTATTTTTCAGGACAAAAGATCTGAGGCAGGGAAATGAAACAGTACAGGGGAATGTAGGTAGCTTAGTGAATGGGTGTTTGTTTCATCATTTTGCTTCTTAAGTTATGTTTGTGTTATATAAATTCCCTCTGTGTGTCAGATACTGTATGTCAAGCCTGTGAAAAGATATTAAACAAACAGTATCAATGTTAAGACTGGTAGTGAATACATGGATATTCCTATATTATCACAGAAATTAAACCCTAAACTTGGGAATCCTGTGGATTTATGGTGAAAATGTCAATTCCATATGCCCTTAGATTTTAAGTTATACTACAAAGAAAAAGAAGGAAAAAAGCAACAAATACATATTATATACCACTAAGTTATTTGAACCAGTATGTAAATGCATAGTGTATTTAATACAAGTTCAGTGTAAGAAGAGAATTAAATATTCAGAACAATCCCTCCATTTCCCCCATTTGGATATTGACTTTCAAATTCATACTATATTTCTATAGATATTTTGGATCAATAATTTGTAGGAGACTTTAATTCAATACCTTTGAGTAAGCAAGTTCAAAATACTCTCCATATTACTATTAACCATAAAGTGGATCATAGACAGTCTGGTTTAGGAGTGGAACAGTAAGCCTTCCACATTTCCCCTCCAAACCAAGAATACTGAAGCCTTTGGAGACTAATCTTGTCTCCACTGTTAAGGGATGTGAATCAGGAGGGAATGAGCTGAGGACACTGTTGAGAGGTGGAAAATGATGAAACAATTCTGTATTCAATTCTAGAATTCTTGTTCTATATTCTCCTGAGTTCTGGACACTCTAAACCTAAACAAGGTGATTTCATGAGAGACAGGATTAAACTTATAGATATGTTAAAAGTTGTGATGGAACGTTTTCCTAATTACTGTAAATGGCACCCAATGCAACTGAGGGGACTCTGCAATGGGATAATTAAATGGAAATATGTCTTCAATTTATCAGATATGTATTACAGAACGAGATGAAGAGAAATAAATAGGGAAAATACTGTGCTCTCAAAAACAGGTCAAAGGAGGGGTACTTGGGTGGCTCAGTAGGTTAAACATCTGACTCTTGATTTCTACTCAGGTCATGATCTCAGGTCCTGGGATAAGCCCCACATTGGGCTCTGTACTCAGGGGGGAGTCTGCTTAAGATTGATTCTCTCCCTCTGCCCCTCACCACCCCTCTTAAATAATAAATCAATCTTTTTAAAAAACAGGTTAAAGGAAATTGTCTATTATTACAATGCAAATCAATAATTCTTTAAATTTTGAACGATTACATCATTATCCTTTAAAAAATTTAAGGTGAACTTGTCTTCCTGTTTCATTCCATATTGGAGTTCTTGGGATCTGAGAGCACAGATTGTAAAATTGCTTCCAATCTCCTACCATGATTATTGCTATGACTATCCTTTGCAACCAAAAAATATAGGATTTTTGTTTGTTTTTACTTTTTTCATACTGCTATGATTCTTCTGTCTCATCATCCACATCTTCCCATTGGAAAGGTCTCCTCCTCCGATACCATCCTGTTGACAAACTTCTTGAGCAAATTCTCAGTTTCATGAATGAGCAATGAGCATTTCAGATGAGAAACCAACCTGGAGTTTATGCAAAGTGGAATAGCTATTTTCCTCCTAACAAGCTATAGATTTGCAAAAAACAGCGATTTGCTCTTTGATTTTTCAAAATCTTGAAGTAGATAACAAAAAATATATAGAATTCCTTGCTGCTACTATAAACCAAAGACACTCTAATCAGTGAAATAGTGAAATTTACATTTACACTGATTTTCTTTGATTACCTACCTCACGCAATCATGGAATCTAGACTTTCCCACCATATTGCTTTTAGATTAATTGTAGCTTTTATTGACAGCCAACTTTAATTATGAAACATACAAAATAATTGTAATAAATATGATTTAAGTGACTGTGCCGTAAATGCAGTAGTGACCATTTTTTCCTTATATTTAGGAGAGATTTCCATACATGGATAGTATTTTACATACTTATAGGAAAAAATCATAATTTATTCTAGGAAAGGACTCATCAGCTTGATTTTATTCTAAATTAGTTTCCACCAGTCTCGTATAGTGTCCCCATCAATTTTCCCTTCCTGCTACGTTTAATTCTTTAAAACTAAATCATCTTAAAGATTTTTTAAATGTATCTAAACAGCCACATAAAGATTAGTTGTTTCTTTTTGGAGAAAAATCATGGGGAAAAAAAAATCTTACCTATTTAGAGCAGATGTAAATTATGTTTAAGCAGTTAAACGTTTCCTTGTGTGTTTTTATTCATATTATTCCCTCTGTCTGGACACTTTTTCCCTTTTTTTATATCAAACCAACTTGCTCATACTTCAAAATCATAATCTTATCATGTTTGTGAATACTCCCTACCTCTCCTACAGTTACTTGCACTTTACCTATTTCTCCCAAGAGACCTTTGAACCACAACAATCGCATAACTGATTGAGTCATACCAACCAGTAAAGCACAAACCTAATAATGTCTCCAAATAGGATATGAGCTTTTCAGTGTTAGGAATGGTGCTTGTTTTATTCTGTATTTCTGGCCTCTAGCATATGCCTAGTACATAATAAGTGTGCCATTAAGACTCTTTCAAAATGAATAAAAAAATTATCTTAGTCTCAGAACTGAATCTCTGACAGTAACAATCTCTTCCCTCTAAAGAAGCCACTAGGAGGATCCCTATGTCATCCTATTTTTATTGAGATGAATTTTGGCTGGCTTTCTCCATCTTTCCCAAAGCAAACTGTCCCCCTGCTCAAACCGGCCACCATAATGCAAATGTGGATGTGTCCAGACTGATCTGGGCCTGAATCCTAAACCCACTTTTTAAAACGAACATTGGCCCCCAAAACTTACTTAACTCGGAGGCTCGCATTCCACCTATGTCCATGTCAGCCGATTTGCGGTACCCTTGTATCTAAGGAAGGATGAAGAAGGGTGTCAAAGAAAAGAAGGAAGAAGGGATGTGAAAGAAGATGGAAAATATAAGAGTGATGCTCTTTGAGAATGATCAGAGTTATAAGCTGCTTGGTTTTTACTGTGTAAAAGCCAACAGTGTAGTTCACTATCTATTTTTAAAAAAAGTGACACTCCTTGAGATAGAAAGACTGGAATGAGCATGAATGTGTACAATTTATTTATTCCATTTTTAAATCATCAAAATAATTTATTCCTCTTTTTCTCTGTAGAACAGCTGAAGCAGGAGTAGAGATGCTAAATCAATAGATTGAGGAAGGATCCATATTTCATTACAGAGTTTTGTGAATTTATATAACATGTAAAGCAGTGGTGAGCAATAGGCGAAGGTGGTAGGAGTGATGATAATCAGGGTGATTTTTTTTGGTATCTCATGACACATTAGCTATACTTTTGGAAAATAAAGGCTTTCTTTTACAGAATGCATCATTTGACACTTAAATATTTAATAAGTTCACCTGTTACTTTTCTTGCTTTAAAGGATATGAATTTTAACAGACTTTAATAATAGTGCAGTACTAATTTATGATATAGGGAACAGTTAAACATTTTAAACTACAGACAGCGAACTTAAAATAGACCCTTTATAACTCAGACATAATTGTGATCACTCATCAGTTCTCATTTGATTTACTTTGTGCCCTTGCAAGTGAGATTGACCCCCACCCCCACACACCATTCTTTTCTTTTCCAGACATTTCTTCCAAAATTATTTTTCTGCCCTCCACTTGTAGGAGCACTCTGTAATCTATTCTTGGCAACAATTCTCATTTTATTAGTCATGAACATTTCAACCCTCAGTTCTGTTCCTTCAAAATCAGTATTATATTCTTTTACCCAAAGGCAACATCTTTCAAAACATCATAAGATAGTAAACACACCTAATATTTATTTATATTTATACCTGGTATAAAAGGATGTACTGAGTGATCGTATTAACCTCTATGAAAGAACAAGCATCTTTCTTGTATAGAAAGTTCAATGATGTTTGGATAAGAAAAAGCACGGATGGATTTAGCTAAAAATAAAAGTTAAAAAAAACATCATCCTTTAGGTTTTTATTTTTCAAATTAATCCTAAATCCTGAGCTCTCTAGGCCTTCAACACCCTTGTCAATACCTTCCCTTTAATGTCTTCCGATCTTCCGTCCCTTCCCCAGCCAGCATTGGCTCCATGGCTCATGGTTTTACTTCCTGCCAATAGTCTCAACCTCTTGTTACTGTTTTCTGGCCTCTCCCACTCAGCAAATCTTCCTCAACTTTACCTCAGCTGCCACCATACTTCCTCTCCCTCCACAGATAAAAGCCATCAGACTCTGATTTCTCAATAAGCTTAAATTCATCTGTATCTATCTACTTTTCAACCTCTATTATCTAAAACAATGTCTCTCCTCTATGGCTGATCCTCTTCTGCACCCTGTTCTAGCCGATGTCTTGCAGGGACTTCATTCTCTCATGAATCCCCTCTCTTAGGACTTCCACTTCTTCACTTTTACTGGAAACAGAGCTCCAACGACGTGTGTTGTGGGTTGAACTGTGTCCCCAGAAAACGCAGGTTGAAGTCCTAACCCCTGTTAGAAATGAATTTGGAAATAGGTCTTTAAAGAGGTGATTAAGTTAAAAGGGATCATTAGGGTGGGGCCCAATCCAGTATGATTGACTCCTTATAAGAAGAGATCAGGAAACAAAAACACATACAAAAACAGCAAAGTAAAGACACAGAGAAATATGGTCATCTACAAGCCAAAGAGAGGGGACTCAGAAGAAACCAATTTCACTCATATCTTGAACTCAGACTTCTAGCTTCCAGAACTGATAGAAAATAAATTCCTGCTGTTTAGGCTACTCAGTTTCTGGTAATTTGTTATGGCAGCCATAACAAACTGATACAGATTTCATTGGACTCTATAGAAATTCAAAGTTTTTCATGGGGCGCCTGGGTGCCTCAGTCATTAAGTGTCTGCCTTCGGCTCAGGTCATGATCCCGGGGTCCTGGGATCGAGCCCCACATTGGGCTCCCTGCTCAGCAGGAAGCCTGCTTCTCCCTCTCCCACTCCCCCTGTTTGTGTGCCCTCTCTTGCTGTGTCTCTCTCTGTCAAATAAATAAATAAAATCTTAAAAAAAAAAAAATTCAAAGCTTTTCCAACTTCAAAAATCCCTCCATTTTTGAACCCACATGCCTCTCTTATTTTATTATACAATGTCTTTCTTCTCCTTAAGAGTGATTCTCCTTGACTTGTAGATCATTCTACTTGTGTTTTCAAAAAACTTGAATCCAATATTCAAAGTAGAATATAGGCATACCTCATTTTATTGCACTTCGCTTTCCTGCACTCCACAGACACCACATTTTTTTTTTTTTTACAAATTGGAGGTTCAAGACTTAAATGAAGGAAGTACTGCAAATGTGGTGGGAATAGCAAGAGAACTAGAATTGGAAACGAAGCCTGAAAACGTGGCTGAATTGCTGGAATCTCATGATAAAAGTTGGACAAATGACGAGTTGCTTTTTATGGATGGGGGAAAAAGTGGTTTCTTGAAATGGAATGTACTCTTGGTGAAGATGCTATGAAGACTGTTGAAATGACAACAAAGAATTTAGAATATGACATAATCTTAGTTGATAAGGCAATGGCAGGGTTTGAGAGGACTGACTCCAATTTTTAAAGAAGTTCTGCTGCGGGTAAAATGCTATCAAACAGCCTTACATGTGACAGAGAAATCATTCCTGAAAGTAAGAGTCAATCAATGTAGCAAACTTCATTGTTGCCTTATTTTAAGAAATTGCACAGCCAACCCAACCTCCAGCAACCACCACCCTCATTAGTCAGCAGCCATCCAACACCACCAGCAAAAACATGACTTGCTGAAAGCTCAGGTGATGGTTAGAATTTTTTAGCAATAAAGTATTTTGTAATTAAGGTATGTATATTGTTTTTTAGACACAATACTATTGCACACTTAATAAACTACAGTATAATATAAACATAATTTTTATATGCATTGGGAAACCAACAAACTCATGTGACATGCTTTATTGCAGTGTTCACTTTATTGTAATTGTCTGAACCAAACCCACAATATCTCTGAGGGATGCCTGTAGATAGAAGAGAGATATATATTAAGTATATGGGAGCCGGGAGAGAGAATGGCCAACTCTCCCTGAGAGAACTGGAAAAGCTCTTACGGGTAAAGGTAACAACTAGATTTTGAAGTTAACTTGTAAAGAAGGATAGAAGAGCATTTCAAGCAAAAGAGACTGGATCTAAACATAAAGAGGTTTGAAGGCCCTAGTTATGAAGAAATCTTGGAGACTCCAGTGTGATGAGTGCACCTCACTGGAGATGGAGAAATGGGAATGTGGATTGAGTTATTTGCATTCACTGGTCTCAAAGACACACCTTGCCCCATGTCTTATGAGTATTCAGTCATAGAAACTTTGGATGGGGAAGGGACATTTGCAATACCACCTTGTCATTTAAACTGTTCTACCTGTAGGATCTCAGCTGTGAATTCCAGTTTGTGCTCCCCAATTGGGGAGCCTTCATTTCCCTCTGACCTTGACTTGCTCCCTCCCTGCTCTACAGTAGGATATCCAGCAGGTTGTTTGTTAGAGCCAAGGTAATTATTTTTCTTTTTTTCTCAAAGATTTTACTTATTTATTTGACAGAGAGAGAGAAAGAGAGAGCACGGGTGGGGGAAGGGGCAGGCAGAGGGAGATGGAGAAGCAGGCTCAAGGAGCCTGATGTGGGACTCGATCCCAGGACCCTGGAATCATGACCTGAGCCGAAGGCGGATGCTTAATCGACTGAGCCACCGAGGCGTCCTGGTAATTATTTTTCTTACCATGAGAACCAAGAAGAAGACCAAAGCTGAAGTGATCTCTAACACACACACACACACACACACACACACACACACACACACACACACACAGTGGGTGGGGGAGAGAGTGCATAAGCGGGCAACTGGAAGATCAGAGAATTAGAGCAGAACTATTTTATCTTCAAATTACAGCTAATACTGAAAATGCACAGGTATTTATCTTAACTTTTTCAGTGTCAGAAGGATGAATGTTGGGGTGGAGTTTAATTCTACCAGAGGCTACTGTTAGATGAAACATCAGAAGGCTTGATGTATTCTAAAAGGCAATTGTCTTTATGCAGTCTCTCAAAGCTCAGAAGGTTAGCAGTGCTAAAGGACATTGTTCTATGTTGAATATAATGAAATCCATGCTTTGTGCTCTGGGACAATAATTGGGAATATCCTTAAATTTGACTGGCTGATGGGGCATGAAATTCAATTACTGTTCATTCAAGTATTGTTTGAACTACACAAGTTTGTTCTTTTGTAAAAATTTAACAAATGAAAAGGAAATAGAGTGCCTTCCAGTTGAGAGATATAATTGGCATTGTTATCCTATAATTATAATTAGCCTTATATTCCATTATTTTTTGAAGCCTGGTCTCAGAGGGGAAAAAAAGAGAGAATAAACTTGAACAGTTTGATTAGGTCACCTATATCAACTCAGCAAGTTTTTCAGCTTAAAATTTTATAGCAAATATCTTTAGTATAAATGTTAGCAATACATTTTGTCATGAGATCAAGTCTCATTGAATTATTCTATTAAAGATACGGCATCTCCCCTGAAATACTGATGTCAAATGACACATCATCTCTTACACCAGAATCTGCCTTCTTGTTAGTTTCTCTGGTATCCAAATAACTTCATCCTCTCTGCAGTGGTGAGAATGCTAGATCAATCTTCCCCTTGAAACTTTCAATTTCCACATGGTGGATTATGGTTATTTTGGAGAATAGCTATAATTTTTTTTATCAACTGGGAAAAATATAGAATAAATTATTGGTTTTCATGAAAAGATTGTAGTTTGATTTTTACAAACCTTCAATTTCAACATGTATTAAAAATGCTGGGGCTAAATTTAGGCTTCTTTTGCTTTATAATGTAAACTGTGCATCTTTTTTTTTTTAATGTTTTATTTATTTATTCATGAGAGTCAGAGAGAGAGAGAGAGAGGCAGAGGCAGAGGGAGAAGCAGGCTCCCCGCCTAGCAGGGAGCCCGATGCGGCACTCGATCCCAGGACCCCGGGATCATGACCTGAGCCGAAGGCAGACGCTTAACCATCTGAGCCACCCAGGTGCCCCTAAACTGTGCATCTTGCAGATTTGTATTTGTAAGTAGCCATTTGTTTTACTTAGAAACTTCGCTGACATCGAGCACAATGTCTACAGGTGAGCAATAGAGCCTTCCTCACAACCTTAACAGTGAGTAGCTGTGGTTAACAGCAGATAATTTCCATTTGGTTTTTACACTCAAACATTATATTTTTAAAAATAAAAGACTATTTTAAAGCTAAGCATAAATATGAGATAATTAAAGCAAGAATAAATATTAGATATTTGATTGTTTAGATTATCTAAATTTACCTAGCTTTACCTATGTTATGGTATCAGACTTTAGTTAAAACACTAATTCAGTACAAATCAAAGACTTTAGTCAAGCCATTTAAATGTGGTTTTAACAATCTAGTTAAGAATTATTCACACCCCCAAAAAGGATAATTGAACGATTGCTAAAATATTTGAATTCCAAACTTTTACAAAATCCATAGGAGATACTCAAATTCTTTATGCATTCTCTCCTCCTACCTCGACTTGGTTACCTTTCAGATAAATCACAATTAGAAATTTTAATTCTCGAAACTAGTCACTATTCAAATAAAATTTGAACAAATGATATTTGAGCAGTTCAGAACCTTCATTATATAGAACCAACTACTTTGGTTATCATACGGTAAGCCTCAAACAAAATATCTTGCTGAATCAAACCAGTGTCCTTGCTACTGTCAATCAAAACAAAGTTGTTACAATTGGAAGATAGCTTTACAAATATGTCTGCATCCTCTACGTCCCCTTCATCTCCTTCCCACCCAACATGGAGACTTGTCAACTGAAGGGCTAAAAGCAGGTTGTTGTTGTTGTTTAACGAGTGAACTATCAGATCAAATATTAAAATCACTTTCCCTCAATCCACCAAAGGTTAGACCTAAACAGTAAGTTGAAATACTACATCTAGGACAAGAGTCTGAGTTGATATCTTTGGTTTTTTTACAGTCTAATTTCAACTTTACAAATTTCTGAAAATCCAGTTCCATTAGTTC